TGTACACATCCACCTGCTGACAGTGCGAAGCAAGCATTTCTGGGTTTTAATCTTAGTCTTTTCTGTTGCTGTTTCAACCCAGGTAGCAAAGGCATGGGCGGCTGGGAAGGAGGCATCCGAGTCCCGGGGATCGCCCGCTGGCCCGGGGTGCTGCCGGCCGGCCGGGTCATCCAGGAGCCCACCAGCTTGATGGACGTCTTCCCCACGGTGGTGCAGCTAGGGGGCGGCCAGGTGCCCCAAGACAGGTAGACAATAGCCCAAGGAAAGCAATTCAATTTTGCATAGAGACACACAGGTACATCAGTGGTCACTGTCACTTTTGCATGACGTAAGGCATCGGTGAGATCAGGACCCTTATCACTGTCTACGGGAATCATGCGTCTGCTGCTTATATACACAGAGTGTCTTCTCTCTCTTTTCCTGACTCGTAAGTGAGGCCAACTTTCTTTTAAGGGTGGTTCTCGTAGAAAAAAATGTCGCCATATATCCGCAAGCCATTACCGTATGTCCCCAGGGATACGACACTCCCCATGTCTAAGACACACCTTAATTTGGGGGCCCGAAATTTGAAAAAAAAGTATTACATAAAGTGATTGAACTCAAGTTTTCTTCATCACAAAATTCATACAACTCTTCATCACTGTCAAAACTCCCGACCATGAGCTTGTCCTCATCTGTGTTTGATGACGAACCACTGTCTTCATATATAGCCTCGTCCTCAGCGGAAAATGCAAGTAAAAAAAATCTACAACCGCTGTATAAGACGCACCCAGTTTTTAGACCCCACGTTTTTCGAAAAAGGGTGCATCTTATACATGGGGAAATACGGTACTTTTGATCCAGTGTGGTACAAGCTTTTTCTGTGATTCCCAATTTTTCTGGTCTTAAAACGTATAGGAAATTCGGGGGGAAATAGAAAATAAAACAATTGCGTAAACTAAGCAGCCTAGAGATTAATACATGGATGATACAAAGATATTATACATATTTATTTTATATATTCTTTATATATAGAGGGTGCCCAATGATGTATACGCATTTTAAGCTGTATTAAAGTTGTAATCCTCAATATATACAGATAACAAAAGATGAATACAAGTCCCGTGTGACGTCTGCAATGACAAGAGGTGCTCAAAGTGGTTCCCATCAGCGTCATTTTAATAGTTTTTTCGTTTCTTAAACTGTGTATACATTTTTTTGGCACCCTCTATATTATTACATATTGCTTGTATATGCTCATCTATTGTTTTTTTATTTTTATATGCTTATATATATACGGAAATCTTTGTGCACAGACAAGAAATGTAATGGCTTCATGTTATTTTCTTTCAACCAGCCTCTTACAGGAGNGGCCTGGGAAAACAACAGACATGTATCTCTACCAGTCATGGATGGAGGCTGGAGTCCGGGATCCGGGTGTCCCAGGGCTGGTCCCCCCCGAGGCCTCTCTCCTGGGTGTGCAGACGGCCATCTGCTCCCCATGTCCTCACATGGTCATCCCTCTGTGTGTGTCTGTGTCCTCACCTCCTCTTCTTATAAGGACACAGTTCTAATGGGTCAGGGCCCACCTAGTGACCTCGTGTTACCTTAATCCCCTCTTTACAGACCCATCTGCAAATCCAGCCCCATCCTGAAGTCCTGGGGGGTCAGGGCTGCAACGTATGAATGTGGGGGGACACAGTTCAGTCCAGTGCACATCTTTGCTGGGGGTAGGAGTGAGGGGTGGGCTTTGCAACAGTTCTGTACCGCGCCCTCCCCCCAGCTCTCCAAACCCAGGGCTGTGACAAGCACCTGTGACCTTGTCACACACTCAAGGACACCATCCTGAAACCATGCAGTCCCAGGTGATTGGTGGAGAAACTCCAGTACCGGAGACACGCAGCTGCTGACCGGTCAGCTGGAATCACGTCCATGTCTGCCTCGAGTCCATTCCCCTTTGGCGTCCAGAAGGGACGATGGCCTAGCAACACCCCCAGGACCCCAGTTCCCTGCTCACAGCCATGGTTTATCTAACATGGAGACAGCGCTTTCAGCCAGGCGTGCCCTGAACACCTGTCCCACGGAACCATCTCTGCTCTGTTCAGAATAAGTTGTACCTGGTCCCCTCAACCCCCAGAGCCATCCACACCCTGGTCCCTAACGGCTTTGAAGCCACTCAAGTCCCCATGTCCTTAAAGTCAGAGCAGCCCCATAGGATCAAGTCCATCCTCCCGTCCCATCCCCACAACCTCCTCCAAACAGAAGATGTGGGGTACCAGCTCCCACCCTCTCTGCCACTCCTAAAACTCACGACAGCCCCCACACTTTGTTCCTATACCTTGCCCCAAAGCCCCCAAGGCTCCTGCTCTGCACAGGTTGGGGGAACCTGGCCTCCCTCCAAGGTAGAATTTCATCCAAGGCTCAAATCTGGACTGACAGACGCCTCCATGCTGAGCTGCCCCCTGGACTCCTGGCCCCTGGCATCCTACCTCTGGCCTCTGCACCATCTGTGGGGTGTTTGCAGCAACCCAACTGGAAAGTCCTGAGCTAAAGCAACTGGGACCTCAGGACAAGAACCGCGATGAAGAATGCCTAGGAACGAAGGCGGCTCTACCGTCACCCCCATAAGTGCATGCGGACTCAACCTGACAACTAAAAAGCAAAGGTCTTTTCTCCCAATAGAAACTCCAGCCACGTTTCTGGAGATGCCAGCTCTGCAGGGAGCTTCGGGGGCACCTCCAGACTCTAGGTTTTCAACAAACACCCTCAGGGGGCTTAGAGAGGCCCCGCCCACGCCCCAGGCTTTGGGTCCACACCGTTCCCGGGGACCATCGGGTCAAAACGCAGGGCTGAAGTGGAACGGTAAAGAGAGAAATTGCAGGGCAGCTCACGGGGACCAGGACCCGGAAACGACCCATCAGGCAGCCCCAGTGTCAAGGCCCGTGGGGGAGGGCCCACATTGAGCACCCCCACCCGTCGGGCACAGGGGACATCTGGCACCCTGGTTGCCGGATGCACCGGGCAATCCGTGCCCAAGACCCTGTGTGAGATGCAGAGGGGCGCGCTCCGTGCAGGCCCAGCTGGGGTTCCTCTGCTCCGGCGCGTTTCCAGTCTCCGGGCCGCCCGCCCCACCCCCACCCCCACTCCAGCAGCCGGGAGAAACCTGCTTTTAAGACCCATTCCCTGAGGCCCCAGATAAAGGCGATTAGAGAGGGAGGCGCCCGGCCCGCCCCGCGATCCTGCAGCTCGGTGGGCGGGTCCGGCACACAGCGCCCAGGGCGAAGTCCCGCGCGTCAGGGCCGCACTCGCCATGCGACCCACGGTGCACAGGGGACTCGCTGCCCCTGCCGCCAGGTGCGCGGGACCCCGGGACGCAGCCCCCACCGGAGCCTGGAGCGGGGGGGGGGCGCTGGGTGCAGGTGGGGGGCGCAGAGAGTGAGGAGGGGTGCCCGGGGCGCGCGTGGGCCTCCCGGAAAGCCGGGCTGTGCGTGCGCCTCGGGTTCAGCAGAACGCGGCTGAAGGGCCGCTTCGTCTCGGGACGCGAGATCCGGGGTGGGGAGGGCGCCCCCGCGCGGGAGGGGGGGTGCAGGCGGGACGGAGACGGGAAAGGGCGGAGGAAACGCGGAGGAAGTTGGGGACAGGAGCAGGAAGCAGCGAAGGGGCCTGGCTGGGTCCTCGCCAGCGCCCGGAACCCCATTGGGACCCGCCCCCGGGGCCCCCTCCGCGCGCCCTCTGG